ACGAGGCTCATCGTGCGTCCGTTTCTACGGCAGCCTACCCTGGACGCCCCACATACCGTGGCTTCGATTCAGCACCTGCGGTCACAAATGCGCTGCCAGCTCCTGAAGAGCATCGTCAAGACTCGGCGCCGCCGAGACATCACTCGTACGATGCCCACGCAGAGTATAGGTCTATGCAGCCGACAGTCGAAGATGTGCCGGAATCGCCCAACACAGCCGCGAGCAATGCTCAGAGAAGGATTTCTCGCGCACCCCAGTACGATGAGCCAAGTTACCGCCAAGAGCAAATCCAGCCGCCACCGCAGCAGCAGCAGCATCATCATCAGTCGACCGAGATGACTCGGCGCCGAAACTCCCATACACCACAGTATGACGAAATGGGATACGACCAGGGATACGACCAGGGATACGACCAGGTTCCCAGTCCGGCACCGTTGAATATCAGCGGAAGGGGAAGTGCCAGCTCAACTCGTCAACGTGGCCACTCACCGCAGCCTAGCTATGGCCGAGGGGATGATATGGGTCAAGGCGGACGTTACAGTACCTCCCCACGACCTGAGTTCCAGCCGAGAGGTGACGAGTTGGTATTCGCAGGGAGAGGCGCCGTTTCTCCTGGTCATTATAGTACATCGCCACAACCAGATTACCAGCAAGATTACCAGCCCAGGGGCGACGAGCTGGTCCTCGCTGGCAGGGGCAATGTTTCTCCTGGCCACTACAGTACTTCACCGCAGCCGTACCGGGGCGATGAGATGGTTCGTCATCAACAAGCCTCCCCTATTGCCTCTCGTGACTTCGCTCCAAGTCCCATGGACGGAGCATCCTACCACTCGCACTCACGGAGCCAGAATCAGTATACCTCGCAGAGGTCTGAGCTGGGTGGAACGCAGATCACGGCTCACGGCATGCCCGCTGTGCCAGCTTCTTTGGTCCCAGGCGTCGATCACAGCGTCTCGCAGGAGATCTCGGAACGCATCTATGAGGAGAGACGTCAACAACGGCGCTATACTGATCAGAGCATGACTACCCCAACTCGTGGAAGACATCACAGTGAGCCACTCGGTTACGACGGAAGCTACTCGAACCAGTCCTATGTTCCACCAGGATACAACCACCGCTCCTCTGTGGCGTACGGTGCTCCTCAGTCTGACATGAACCGTGGACGGGGTGTTTCGCCCAATCCGATGAGAGGTCGGGGTGCGTCCCCTAACCCGATGATGGCAAGAGGCGCATCACCAAACCCGCACGGCACTAGGAGAGGTGTATCGCCCAATCCAATGAACATGACGATGGATAGAAGAGGAGCTTCGCCTCAGCCGCCCCCGCAGCACATGAGGTCGCGGGGAGCCTCACCTAACCCGCATCATACCATTAAGCGGAAATCTGTTAGTCCCGCGCCGCCTCCGTCTGACCATCGGAGGCTCTCTGGCATCCCTTTCGGGCCGGATTCGTACGATGCTCTCAACCCATCGCTGTCGGCTACCAGTAGCAACGTTTCACGACCGGACCCCGATGAGAAGATCATTACTCACGATGGACGTGAGATCGACCCTTCAGACCACTTGCCTATGGACACATGGGCGCCGGAACCCGAGCCTAAGGGGCCCAAAACCCCAGCTACGGCTTCTGTCCGCTCACGAGCGTCACCAGCTGCTACTCAGGCAATGCCCCCGACTGGCCGTCGGCAATTGCGTATTGCAGGTCGGCCTCAGTCTCAAGCATCGCCGGTCACATACGGTTCAGATCCTTACCACGTCCCGGGCACACCGCCGAGCGGAGGTCGGAACCGCTTGCAAAAGAAGACGCAGCGCATGTCTGCTATGCCTACAACATCACCGGCGGGTTCCAGTCCCCTAGCCCCTATCTCGTCGCACAACTACCAAGATCATGGCAGCGACTTTACGCCACCGCGTCTCCCCAGGGCAAGCACGTGGGACTACCCCAGCGAGAACCATGCACCACAGTACGGCAGCTCTCCTGGAGGCGGATATGGCGGCGCGCCCCCAATCCCAGCGAAGGTCCCCTTGCCTATCATGAGCGGCGCGAATGGCGATAACGAGTGGGCTTTGATGCAGGAAATGAGCCGCATCGACATTGGCGCCGGGCGCTCCAGGCGTCATCGTCACTACTAGGCGAAGTTGATACGGCGTATGAATGACTGGGTGATGTTTATACGGAGTCCATGTAATTGTACTATATAATGGTAACGGGTCACGCTTTGAGTGTTGAATGGTTTCTTTTGAATGAACTGGAAACACGGTTTGGGCTACGGGGTCGGGTATGATGGGTTGGTAATGCTGTAGACAGCCGGAATTCCATTTCTTCATATTCATGATTTGCCGCCTCCGTAATTGATTTGTGATGACTTGAGGTAGAAGCTCGGATGCACAGCATCACCTTGAACAGCTCATGCCCAAGTCCGGAGAGGTTACGGGATGGGGCAAGTCAACATCAATCCCCGATCTAAAAACGAGTATCGAGACTGGTATCTTATTTGGTTTGGGGTTTCAAATGGTAGTTTTGGTGACAACGATGTTTGGGGAAGGCCGATCCGTGTCTGTCTCGGGAAATGGTGCCCACGTCGTCTAGTCTTGCCATCCACTTCGGCTTCACCTTCTCACCTCAGGAGAAATCTCACGCCACGACTTGCGTTCATGCTCGAGTGGATTAACTCCATTCGACGCCCTTCGATTGACGAGGTCAACGGGATCCCACCGCCAACGAAATGTTGCAGCCATAAAAAGCTCCTACACCTAACCCCTCATTTTCTCCGGATCACCATTTCTCGCCGACTTACACCACCACCTACTCTTGACGACTGAGGCTGGCCTTTACTCCACAACGCGCTCGCGACTGACAGGCTTCATGTCGAAATGGGTTCAAAGACACCCGAAGACCATATTCCAGGAGGCAATGGTAATGAATCCAAAATGCTGTCTTTGTTTAACTGGCCTTCATGACCAAGTGGTAGCATGCTAATTGATGTCGTTCAGGCGGGCCCACTTCGTCCGGCATTTCTTCCGGCGGGGAGCCGCGCGGCGTGCACCTCTCCCGTGACGGGGACGGCAGTCTCGGCGACGGGGGCGATGACGACGGCGACGATGGCGACGAAGATGAAGTTGTCGCTGGCACCGGATCGCTGAACAATGCAGCAGACAACGACGATGGCAACGATGATAATGGACCCAAGAAGAAGAAACGAAAGCCCAGAAAGAAGAAGAAGAAGGCTTCTGCCGCGGCGACTGCTACGAAGCAATCTGACCCTCCGAGGGTGCCGCTGAGCGACCTCTTCACTTCGGGCTCGTACCCGGCCGGTGAGGCGCAGGCTTACACCAAAGCCCGGGATGCGGCTGCGGCTACGGGTGCGGACTCGGATATGAACACCGCGCGCACGACGGCTGCGGAGTTACGGTACCAGTCCCGCCCGCACCTCGAGGACCCGAGCCTCCTGAACGACTACCGTAAAGCCGCTGAGGTTCATCGGCAGGTCCGGCAGTGGGTTCAGGATACGGTGAAGCCCGGTAAGCAGACTCTGCTCGAGATCGCTACGGGGATCGAGGGCGGGGTGAGGAGTTTGCTGGGGAACCAGGGGTTGGAGGTGGGTGATGCGTTGAAGGCTGGGATGGGGTTCCCTACGGGGCTTTGTCTTAACCATGAGGTTGCGCATTATACGCCCAACCCGGGGCAGAAGGATGTGGTGTTGAAGTATGAGGACGTGATGAAGGTTGATTTCGGGGTGCATGTGAACGGGTGGATTGTGGATAGTGCGTTTACGATGAGTTTTGATCCGGCGTGGGATAGTTTGTTGGCTGGGGTTAGGGATGCTACGGAGAGTGGGATCAAGGTCAGTCTTCCTCTTCACGATATCCCACTTGCGATCTTGTTGGGAACGGAAGGAGGCGTATGCTGATGTGTATGTGTCACAGACTGCCGGAATCGACGTCCGCATCTGCGACGTCAGCGCCGCGATCCAGGAGACGATGGAGAGCTACGAGGTTGAGGTCGGCGGCAAGATGTACCCCGTCAAGCCGGTGCGCAACATCTGCGCGCATGATATCGCGCGGTACCAGATCCATGCGGGCAGGTCGATTCCGTTTATCAAGAACAATGATCAGACCAAGATGGAGGAGGGGGAGATCTTTGCGATTGAGACGTTTGGAACGACGGGGCGTGGGAAATTGTATGATGATGTGAGTTTCTCCCCCTCCCTGAAGATCGTTGGCTGCGTGACTACTTTGGCGTCATACTTTTGGCGTTGGGAGTCTGTGGAAGGAGACTTACAACGATGATTAGGTCGGTATCTATGGATACAAGTTGGATTATGACGCTCCTGCTCAAGTCAAGTTGCCCTTCCCATCTGCGAATCGTCTGTACAAGACGATCAAAGAGCAATTCGGAAGTATTGTCTTCTGCCGCAGATATCTTGACCGTCTCGGCCTAGATCGGTACTTGGCTGGTGTAAGTCTCTGTCGTATCTCGTGGCACTCATATTGTTTATTGACATGTTTTCTTTCGCAGCTCAAATCCCTGGAATCTCACGGCATCCTTGAGTCGTACGCACCTCTTGCGGATATCAAGGGCTCTCAGTCTGCGCAGTTTGAGCATGTGAGTTACGATTTCTCGGCGCGAGGCTTCGAAGAAGAGTGATTGGAGAGACTAACAGAAGTAGACCATCCTACTCCGCGAAAACAACAAGGAAATCATCAGTCGAGGAAGGGACTATTGATAAGGGACACAAGAACCAGAATGTGATTTTGAGAAGGGCTTTTTGATGTTATTTTTGGTGAGAAAATAAGGGCGACTTCTCAACACGTCGTAGTACATCAGGATGACGCGGACTCAACGCTCCATCATCCGAAGAAAGGCGATTCGTTACTGCCATGGAGAGCCTTAACGCTTCTATGTGCTCTTGTGGGCGTTCAACACTCCTTTGCAACCTTTTGTTTCGTTCAGTTGTATTCAGAGCTCTGCGTCTTCAGCACCAGACCCCTTTGAGATGTCTAAGATACATGTACTCTCACTTTCCCTCCTTCCTCAATTTTGAACACTACCGTGTATGCAATGTAGCCTTTCTCCGCCTTTCTCACAGTGGCGACAGTGTTGATAAGAGGTATGATATTCTCTAATGAATCATGAAAGAGGGGACGAATAGTAAATTCTTTTGTGTTACCTTTCACACTATGTTGAAGAAGTAGGTCGGCAATCATCGCCCTCGAACTGATTCGCAGCCCGTCGAGGGCTTCAAATCCTGGTGCACACACGCTTTTCAGCAGGCTGGCCCCGTTATCATTCCCACCGTTTGCAGATGCTCCACTCTGAAGCAGTAGTTTCACCAGACGATGTCGTCCGTGGTAACATGCACTTTGCAAAGCTTCTTGAAGAACATTCTGTGGTATGTTGACTCGCTGGTCTTGACGGGGGTTGAAATGCTTGAGAAGCTCCTCGGCCGCATCAAAGCAGTTGTGCTCAAGTGTTGCCAAGACGCTCTGGTAGACTGTGTCTGCACCGATATCGTCTAGAGGCAGCAACTTGATGATCTTGACATGGTTCCCGCAAGATGCAGTATAGAAGGGGTGGCATCTGTAGTCGACTTTGATGAAACTTAACGCTTCATGGTGAATGAGCAGTTTGACGACATGTTCATGTCCATTTGCAGCTGCGAGGCTCAATGCACTCATTCCGTGGGCGTCAGTGACATCAATCTTCGCACCTCTTTCAATCAGTGCCTGGGCAATTGCGAGGTGCCCTTCTCTAGAAACTGGGACAAGAACATTGCTGAAATATGCAACTGTGTCCGTATCAGATATCTTGCCGAATAGCATGAGGCTGATCTGGCGGATGATTCTCCCCGATTTCTTCAACACTTCCATCGCCCTTTCACCAACTTCGACACCTTTGCGACAAAGCACATCGATCACGGTTTCCCAATGATCAGCCAGGATTTCGGCACCAGTGGAAGACAAACTTGCGACTTCTCCTTCATTGAACATAATTTCCACGATATCTTCATGGAAGTTCGAAGCAGCAGCCCAGAGAGCGGTTTTATATGACCCACTAGTCTGTGCATTGGTATCTGCTCCCTTTTTGATGAGAAGTCGTACAGTGGCCTTGTGACCCCGGCTTGAGGCGGCCACAAGAGCTGTACCAAACTTCCCGCCTTGTGCGTTCAAGTCTGCTCCCTTTTCAATGAGAATTCTGGCGAGACCATCATGGCCATTGTATGAGGCGGCCTGAAGAGCGGCCCCATAAACACCTCCCTGCGCATTGCAGTCCGCTCCTCTTTCAAGGAGGATTGCCACAATACCTCGATGACCTTTCAATGCAGCGGCTTGAAGAGGGGTGGCAAGGTATCCACCCTGCATATTAGGATCGGCTCCCTTATCAATTAGGATTTCCACAATATCTTCGTGACCGCTGAGTGAGGCGGCTTGAAGAGCGGTGCCGGTTTGTCCCCCCTTTGCATGCAGGTTTGCTCCTCTGCCGAGGAGCATTACCACAACCTCCGTATGACCATTCGAGGCAGCGACTTGAAGAGCTGTGACATAATTTCCACTTTTGGCGTTAATGAGCTCTGGGTTTGCCTTCAGAATCTCCTCCACAGCAAACACTAGACCTTCGAATACACAGAAGTAGAACAAACGAAGGGGACCTCCAATCTCTTCTTGAAACAGCCGCTTGCAACACGTTTGCATCCATACACTCTTACTTGTGTCTGGTAGTCTGTCAGCCTCTGTCATGCGCTGGCATTCGCGGCCGTAGAGGTAGTCTTCGAGGCAAAGATCGGGGTTCAATTTTTGTTCCTGTCGATATGAGCGTTCGTATCTCACTTCATGAATATGATCAACATCAAATTCGCAAAGCTGAAAATAAATTCCGCAACATTCCTTACGACCAAGTAATTCTCGTACAAGATGAGAAATGGTGTCGGAATCCGCTCGAGCAGCATATCGAGCCCAGTACTGCGCAGCATACGGCGCTAATGGGTACGAAGATCCAAACTCCGCTGGTAGAAGACTATAATCAATGCTCAATAAGTATGCAAGGCATACTCTCGCCATTACTGATTTAGCGATGCGTTCCTCAAAGGCACGAGGGAACTTTGTCTCCATGCGGTCTGAGAGGAGATATTCTTTTACCGAGAAATGCGCGAGCTGAAGAGTCTGCACTGTCTTCCCCGTGGATCCAACAGTTCTAGTGACAGACACGACCAGGCTAGGGCAGTAGATTGAAAAATCGTCTTTGTCTGGCCTTAATGCGGGATTGAATCTCGGATTGTGTTTTTTTGCTTCAGGAGATACTGCGATGATGTCGACGGCTTCCTCCAGACGTAGGGGGTCTTCCGAATGGAGCAAAAATTGTAAGATTCTCCATGCTTTCTGTTGATGTACAGCAGGAATTCTATCCAGTATTCTCGCATAAGTCTCATCTAAGGTCGTCGGCAGCGAGTTCAAGGATGATCGGAGCTCCTCGTCATTCAAGCAGTGCCGAAGTTCAAAAAGTTGACATGATACCCAGCGAAACCTAGAGCATTGATCAGTCTAGTAAAACCAAACATGACACATTTCTGCTTACATTCCGTCGGCTTTTTCGCTCAGGTATTTTTCGACCTGTTCCCGAGAAGACTTGTTGTTTCGCCATTCTGGCAGGTCGCCCCATGTCCTGAGTGTCGATCGGATAAATGCTCGTATGTCTTTGTTGACTGACTTGTTCCGCAGAGGAATCTGCATGTCCTTGGGAATGATATCTTTCAAAACACGACGAATGTCTTCTTCTTGGCGACTTGTGACCAAAATATGATACTTCGCCCCTTCAGATTGCAGGAGAGTTTTGATCCATTGTAGCAGCCCTTTATTTTTAAGCGCTTGGCCTTGTTGGCATTCGCCAAGTAAATCCCGTTCATCAAGCGCATCAAGAACAATCCAGACTTCGCCGGCTACCTCAAGCATGGCATTAAACCATGAACACAGAGAATCATTGTCCGGCTGTGCTGAACTGGCTCCTCTGGATTCGAAGACCGAGTCGAGATATTCTTGAGCAGCCTTGCTCTGGCAATGAAGTTGTTCTATGAGAGATCGGATTGCACCGTCCAGCAACTGCTTCTCAGTGTTTGTGAAGGTGAAATAGAAATAAAGGCAGATGCTCGTGCTGTTTCGTAGATCTCTGACGATCGTCGAGCTTAGGATCGTCTTGCCACATCCTAGGCCGCCATACAGCCATAGGGATGACCCGGAATTTGTCTTCCAGTCCAGATACTCCTTCGTGTCAAGAAACCACTGGCCCGTGCCATCATGATGTAAATTGGATGCCTTGTTGTGATCGATCGATGGGTCTGGTGCAGAAAGCCATGAATGAATTTTGCCGGAACGATTGCCAGCGGTCAACTGCTCGACTTTCCGATGTGTCTCCTTTGTGGTTGCCTCGATCTGAGAGACTAAATTGCACATGAGAAACAATGAAGCCTATCGGTAGGTGCTGCCTACTGACCTTTTCCCATAATCTCTCCTATTTTCCTGGTTTGTTCCACATTCATGCCCTCCATTACTAACAGTAGCTCTTTGGCATACGCAGCGGCAACAATCGCTGCATAGTTTTGCCACTTATCGTTCTTGTGGCTGTCTGCGTAGTCACAAATTCCTCTGATCACGAGAAAGGGAAAGTCATTCATCAGACCGGCCGCCTCCATCTCAAAACAAAGACACCCTGTCCCTAGTTGTTGTAGGATTTGGTCTCGGGAAATGCTATCTTTGACAACCGAGTTTCCGGAAGCAATGATGCCATAGTGGATCTCAGGATTGGCGTCGGGTCGATCATCTCTTTTGAGTTCATCTTCAGGATTGCAGTATACGCAAGTTTCAGTCTTGGTAATGTTTTGAGGTCTTCCTCCTCCGAGCTGCCCATTTTGGACCAATTCAGCACCGGTTCTGTCGTTTGTAGACCTCCGTGGAGAAAGAAGAAGAAACACGATCATGCTACAAATCCAGACTGTTAAAAGGTGAAGATAATGGTAAGAAAGCTGAGCGAAGCCCATTGGGGCTTTCGAATGTACGGGGCTCTGCACTTTTCCAGCTGGCACATGTTTCGATGACGCTGCGAATAGTCGATCGTTCTGAGCTCCTTGATGAATGAATGCCGCGTCTTTACCGCGCGGTTCGGCCAGCCGTGGAAAGAGCTTGAGCGCATCAGCTAAGATCTTCGGCAACTGGTTGCCATTCAGTCGCTGATCAGCTTTCAACTTTGCTAACCCTTTGAGCAAGACTGCTGGTGGAGGAGCAAGCGAACCAACTCGCTGGAATTCGCCGTTTCCCTTCAACTTCCCCAAATCATACTGTATGACTCCCGAAGACCCATCGGTGGGCCGACTAACCACAACGTCGCCGAGGCGGATGTCAATACCGTTTTCTATCCTAGGGATACCGGCACCGATGCCGACCATGAGACCGAATCGAATCTGCGGAAGCGAGAGGATCATGCTGTTCGCAGTCGTTGCTGCAGACACAAGACCATAGCTTCCTTCGGCTAATGAAGCGATGATGACATTGTGAGCACCGATCCGGCCCCAAGAGTAGCTGTTCGTATCTCGTTGATTTTGAATGAAGTTTTCTGGTTGTTGGTGTCTTTCGTCGAGCATAGCAAGTGCGGCTGTGAGTTCTTTGTCCAGAGCAGCGATCCATCCGATATTATAGGCCTGAAAATCAGGCAGTCGTCTCTGATCTGACATGATTTCTTCGTTGAGGGACGCGCAGGTCCCACGTAGCAGTAAGGGACTCCTCGACTTTTACAGTCAACTCGAGTTGTTCGTGAGTGGTTTAGAATAGTCTGTGAAGCGGCATTGTCTGAGAAAAACGTGATTGCAGACAGATCAAAACCCCTGGTGGTCGTAGCCGCCAGCCTGATCACTCACTGTACAACACGTAAGCACATAGCTGAGATGATTGGCCTGTCAGCAATGACCTGCACAATGCGATGTGCATTCTGAACCAGTGAGGGAAGACAGCGAGGGGTGCAAGAGATACCCATGTTGAAACCAGCTTAGCTAGCTATCTCGTGGCTGTCTCTTGCATGCGAGTCGTGGTAACGGTTGTACTATACTTCACATCAATTTTCCGCGAATGACAAATGCAATTTCTTTCAAAGTGTTCAATGAATATCAAGATGCAGGGAGAAGCGTTTCCTGGAAGAGCATACTAGTAGCACTATCGATTACTTAATATGCGCCGGAAGATATCCCAAAGGGCGTCTGCTCCATGGCTAGATGTCTTTAGTCTTCTAAGCTTAAACAGCAGACATTTTGGGGCGGCCGTAAACCTTCAAGCGCTACGCTGATGTGTCTCGTGCTCGAAAGTCATCGTATTTTAGTCACAGTGAATAAAGTTCCATTCTCACTTAGCAAGAGCGTCAAACAATGTAACCAAACCTATCAAAAGAGCTCCAGCCGTGACGATGTAGCTGCCCACAGTCGCCCCAGTCTGAACGCTTGTCTGCACATCTGCCTCATACTTCAGAACCGCAACAATGGGCCAAGCCACGACTGTGGCAATGCTGACGATAGTCGGCAGCAGAACGACTACCGAAATCAGGGTGGTATCCCATCCAACCACGAACCTCAATCCCTTGAGCGAGTCTGCTTGTACTAGATCCCGGTAAACAGAAGCGCGTCGCAGCTCTCGTATGTCCCTACGAGGATCATGACCAGCCGGTACACTGGTCGGAGTCTCATTCTCTACCAATCTCAAGATTCGCTGGGGGACGTCGAAGCCGGACACTAGTGGTCCCTTGTAAATATCGTCTGTGATCTGCATGGCATGTTAGTGAGTTAGCTAGGAAACTCCGTCGGCCGCATCATTTGCTGTGTAGACTTGTTCAATAAATGGACATTTCACTTACCTCTACGATCTCGAATCTAATTAGCGCCTTCGGGAGCAGAACCTGGGAGAATCCGCCCTCGATCCTGTACAAACGATAGAAGAAGGAGAGGTGTTTCCACATCTGAAGGTCATCCATGCCAGGTTCGTCTGGACCTGGAAGCGGAATACGAACGCAATCGGACCGTCCGATGAAGACGGGAATGAAGTGCCCAGGGTACTTCAGTTTCCAAGCTTCATGATAGTTTTGGGAGAAACGTCGTCGGCGGATGGCGAACAGGCAGTAGATGAACCAGAAGTATGACCAGATTGAAGGCCAGAATAAAGATACCTTCGACACGAAGACTAGACAACTTATGGCCTTTTTAAATAAATGAGCTAGTATCTAAGAAGTAGATTGACCGGAACATGGATCCAGACGGGGGCAGAGCTTACGTAGTAATGGCCGACACTAGAAAGCAACGATCCGATTGTGAATGTGCCGCTTCCTAGCCCAAGGGTCCTAAAGATGAAAGCAATGATCTGGACTAATAGAACGGAAGTGATGACGAGACTGGGACTGGACCAGACAGAGTAGAAGATAAAAGAATAGACGACAATCGAGTTGCAGAATATAAGACAGGCCATGAGACGCCAGCTACCAAGAAGTATGGGGAAGTATGGTGCCGGTACAGGCTGGGTTACTTCGTCGACGATGAACGCATTGACGGTGAAGCCGTGAGGTCGCGTGGGATGCAATCGTCGGTACCAACGAACAAGACGAATGAGGAACGCATTTCTCCTGGCTAAACGATCAACAAGGCTCTCGATATCCATAGCAGAAAGGTCGTCAAGTTGTGCTTGAGCAAGTTTATGTTATCTGGCTGAGATGAATGATTGAAGCAGGACGAAAAATACGAGGCTGCGATACCGATCACTTCAGCATCTCTTGCCATATGACCATGAGGTCATGGCCGCTCAATGCAGGGTCGTGGCAGGGATAGCATGGTTGGTAAAGATCACTCGAGCTGGAGCTGAAGATGGTGGCTGACATGGTCTAGTGATCACCCAATAGGATATGGTTGACGAAGCCGGCTTCTTTTCTGCCCGGTCTAGATGTGAGCTGCAACGAATGAGATCCTTTTCAGACATATTTAAGGTCGAGAAGCTGAAAGACCATACATGAGATGGTCGTTCAAGTGTTAGTTCTCGTACTGGCCGGCACAGGCAGGTAGACTTCTCCCAGAGGTTCGGCCTGTAATCGCGATACATGAGATACGGAATGCGATGCTGCTCATGAACGACAAGTCTGAATTTGTTCGCTAAAATGTAATCTTGGTACCAGTATGTTTCGCCGCCGTACCCGTCAACCGCGCAACCATGAGATCGTCCTGCGCCTTGAGCTCGCCCGCCGGCTTCTCCGTCTTCGGGGGCCGGGGTGCCCTCGGCTTCCTCTCCTCGGTCGCCTCCTCCGCGCCCTCGCCGCCCTCCTCGCCGTCCCGCCTGGACTTCTGCTCCTGCCTCTTGGGCGCGTCCTTGCCGAACCGCTTCTTGTACCTCGTCTGGTCGTCCTCGGCGAGCTCAATCTTGAGCATGCGACCGAGCAGCTTGTTGACCCACCATTTTCTCAGCTTGAACTTCTTCTCCTCTGTCTTCTTGTCCTCCTCGCCTTCCGCCATCTCGTCATCGCCGTCCTTATCTTTGGAGGCGACGAAGTCGTCCTCCGTCTCGATCTCCTCCTTGATCTTGACGAAGCCCTTGACGGCCCAGCCGGTGGCCTCGGGCTCGCGGAACTTAACCCAGCCGTAGCCCTTGCACTTGCCCGTGTCCTCAAAGGTAGCGACCTTGACCCAGTCGATCTGCCCGCACTTTTCAAAGTGCTGCCACACGTCGTCGTCGGTCGTCTTGAAGCTCAGGTTGCCAATGAAGATTTTGCTGCTCTTGGGCACCTCCTCCTTGGCCGCGGCCGCACCGGCGGCGCCACCGGCGGCAGCGGTCTCCTCTTCCTTCTTCGGCCGGCCCTCGAACGACTTGGAATCCTTGATGAGGAGCTTACGACGGCTCAGCTCGGCCTCGGTAAGCGCAATGGCCGCGACCTTGGGCGCGACATCGTTGAAGTCGACGTAGGCGAAACCCTTGTTGGAGGGCTTGTCCTTGCCGACCTGCTTCGTCGTGGGCATATGTAATCTCGTGATGGACTCCTTGGTGATCATCTCGCCAGAGTTGTCAATGAGCCACTGGCGCAGCTCGTCGGGGGTGACGAAGAAGGGCAGGTTGCCGATCCACACGCCGTGCTCGGAGCGGGCGGCGGCCTTGGCCTGCTCCTTTTCCTCCTTCTTCTTGGCTTCCCTCTCATCGTCGCTGTCGAGCTTGACGGGGAGCTTCTTGCCCTTCTTCAGGGCACGCTTGGCGCGCTTGGATGGGGGTTCGGGGGCCTCGAGGTCGACTTCAATCTCCTCGACGGCAGCGGTGGATTTGCGCTTCTTGGACGACTCGGGGGATTGTGACGGCGCAACTTCGACTTCAGCTTCGGCCTCGGGTTCGGCCTTGGCCTTGGTCTTCTTGGACCGCTTCTCTGGGTCGGTGGTAGCCATCGTGAATGTTGTGTGAGCTATGCGATCTCAAAAGACTGATTGCGCTCCAATAACGACACAGGGTAGTTCGAGATGTTACCAGAAACCACCGTGAGAATCTCGCATTGAGACCCTTAGTCGGCTTGGGCCCAGAAGTTTTTTTTTTTTTTTTTTGTTCCTGGACCACAATCGATAAGCCGATAAGAGAACATGGGCGGAACCTGGTGGGTCTCGACCGCTCCACCCCGCCGCCGAGGCCTGCTCACCGAGGCTGACCTTGACGGGTCAAGGTCAGACGGATGTACCCAGACATGTAGCGGTACTTGGTGGCAGCTTGGGCTGCAGATAGCTGATTCTACCTAGCGGTCGAGTAGGTTGGCACTTTGCCCGAAAACTCGCGCCCTGCATTTTTGGCAGGACTTTGAGTCCTATACGTGTGACTAAGAAGCGGATACGTAATTATGATGCAGAAGGGGAAAAGAAGAAGAAGCGGTGACTGAGACTTTTTCTCTCGGGCCTCAGATCTGTGTCTCTGTCTTTCTGGGTCTCTGTTTTTGCTCTCCCTTTGATTATGCGTATGGATGTGTTTGTAAGTCATCATTTCTCGTCCGGGTCGGTTTGTCTTGTTTTGATTCAGAAGAGAGCATTGCGGCTCAATGTAACCCGGCGCAAATGAGGAATAGAGTGCCACCTAAGGACTTGTCGTCAAGGACAATGAGGGGCATCCACTTTGTGGCCGGGGAGTTCCAGGTTCTCTGCCATCAAGGGACGCTGAAGAAGGTTAGAGGGGTTGGAAGGGGTTCATGGATGATGATGCGAATGGGGCCACCCGCGACCCGCTTACTTTACTTTACCTAAAGTGCTTTTTTGCTTGGATATCCGTAGAGAGTTGAGATGAGCATCCATTGGCTTGTCGACGCCGCCGAAGTCTGTCTGACAAGCCATATTCAATCATTACCGAAGGTTATTGTGCTTTGACAGTTCGCAGCCACTTGAGATATTACCCTAGAATAAGGTACTCTACTTCCGGTGAGTGTGCGAGGTATCAAAGTCAGCTGAAAAGGAGGCTGAAGAGAAGAGAGAGTGGAGAGTTGTACCGGTGACTTGTGACTAGTAAGCCAAGGTACCTGGTCTTCAGAGTGAGACTCCCGACTCAAGAGGGAGAGAGGGAGAGGGAAAAAAAAATAGTCAGAGACAGCCCCCCACCAGTAGTAGAGGCGCCAACGCCGCCGGATTGGCGCCCTCCATCATCCACTCACGTGCGGGCGATTCCTGACGAATGAGATCCGCCAGTCGCCCAGACGAAACCGCCCAGTGGCCGCCATCCCGCTGCCCCCCTGTCACAACAACTCGCAGAGTGCAGGAGTGACAACCAATGCCGCCTCGGTAAGGTGTGGTCGTGTGCCTTCTCAAGGTACCGTAAGTATCTGTACATTCTTACAATTGGTGGATGGTGCCTGCTGTTTCGGCATAGGGCATCCATCGGGCCCTTGACCGCTTCTGTTTAATTTCACAGGCGGCTTGCAGCAGCTCGACCCAGCGGCGCCGCACCCTCTTTCTCGAGGTACTGTAGGTTCCTCTCTCTACTTACTAGTAGTACGCGGACATCTGCAAGCTACTATGAATGCAGTCCAATCCCTAGCACATCTCTGGATCTATATTCGTACCCAAACCCTTTTCGAGCATTCCTCTCTACTCGGGCAGCCTGTAGGCCTGCAACTCGGCACAGAGAGTGGGTTAGGTGGGCATCCCATCCAGCCAACGCACGTTGCTTAGCTGGGTCTAGGTGGTTCCAGCGATCCAGTGACCCAGTTGCAGGCTTGCAGCAACAAATCCCACGCCGCCATCTGAGCAAGGTCCAGCAGGCCCAAGCCTACCAGGTTAGTCCCCAGCAGCTTAGTACCACTGTAAAGAAGGCGCGAGGTGCGGTACAGGCACTGAAAGAGGAAAAGGTCCTTTTTTCCCTTTTCTCCAGTCCCCTTCGCTTCCTCAGGTGTGCAGCGGGTGCTATCCCTCGCCCCGTTCGCCTCAATCGTCCTTCTTCTCCTTTGCCCAAATCCTTCTGCCAACTGCTCTTCTTTCCCCTCACATTCACCCTCTTCACAAAAAGCCCACAACAATCAATCCAAACAAGAAGCCGTCCTCCCGTCTTCTTCCCGACACTTACCGCCCGACCGACTCATCTTCAATCAAAGCAACTCGAGCATCTGGTCGCACCTAGATTGTTGTCGTCGTCGCCGTCGTCCTTTTTGGTCGCAACCGTCGTCGTCAGCCAGAGTCAAAAAGCAGGAAACCTCCCGCCCGACTCCGACTCCCCGATCTTTCGAATTCAATCACAACATGAATGTGTTGTTGTCACCACAACCGCCTCTCTTCCAACATCCCCACGACCCCAACCGTATTTCTCCCTCTCGTTCTTGTGAGTATTTCCCTCGTCGCTGTGTTCCCTCCCTGGGCTGGCGTAGCATGGGGCGAAAGACAAATCTCGATTTTGTTTCGCAACCGCTACCCGACGACTCGTGCATCCTGACGCTAATCCTTAACAGTGAGCCCATTTCACAACATGGCCACCAGCCGCAAGCGCAAG